CTCACACTCACTCACTTGCACACCATGGCTGTCTAAACCCTCGTTCTCCACCACCAAACCACAGAATCGTTTCCAGTAGATGGCAAAGCCAAGGCTTTTCCACATATAAGCATTTTTTCTAAAACAATTTGCCAAATGCTTCCTTTAAGGATGTCCATGTGTTTTACTTGGTTACCAGTTGAAGACAGGGGCCAAGACTCTCTCCGAGCTCAAAGACACAGGCAGCACTTTGAAATGAAGAGCTCTGTCAGAGAATACATGTTTAAGTGATACTTTCCAGCCCAGTTTCAGATGATGTTGGCTTCACATACAACGGTTCTGTTTCAAATTGATATATGGGAATCATGGGGTACTTAACATGTAATTACACTAAATGAATAATATTTTTATAACTACATATGATATCTGGAAGAATGCAATAGGCAGGAGGGCAGAAAGTGTAGGAAGAAAGAAAGGTAGGAAGGAACAGGGAAGTCAGATGTGTCTTCTGATTATTCATAACCACATTTCAAGCAAATGATGAGATAAAGGAAGGAGAGACAGCTTGTGGACGGGTGTTCTCCACAGCCGCAGATGGAACTTCAATATTCATGTTCCAATATGTTCTCATTGAGCCTTATTTTAACTATTTATCCATCACTTTAGCTCTCTACTTTAATAAATTATCCATTACTTTTGCATAACTGTTTAAACTTTCTAATTAGTCGTCATGCACTCTTAATCACAATACGTAATGTTCATGTGATACCTTCAAATTATATGACAAAAAACTTAACTGTAACTGCCCTTTATGACCTAAGGATGCTATCATATTTGTGCCTTCCAAAAAAGTTACTATTGGAAACATGTTAGGGAAACATTGTGATTTAGGTTAAAATAACTATTTCGTTATGGGACCTTTGTTTTCATGGTTACAGCAATAACTTTGTGGTTAAGGTTAGGGAACTGTCGTGGTTATGGTTGAAAGGAACCAAAACTGACTGTCAGAAGTAAATGGTAAACGGGGGACTACCACAGTGAAGTCAGATATTTTGTGGAGCCATCCATCCACTAGTATTTAATTGGCTGAAAGTTAACTCAATGAGATAATGTATGAGAATGACTATTCAGTTCATATTTTTCACACTTACTGTTAATCCGCCAATCCACAGTACAGACTGTAGCTAAATGTATCCCTAAAACTACACCTGCCTGATGGGTAATCTGGGGGTCCTTGACACCAAAAAGTGTGTGTACCACTGCAGTAGATGGCTTCGTCACCTGAATGTAAAACATTTTTCTCTTCTTATTGGAAGGACAGTCTGTGTCTTACAGCTGACTCCATATGTGGATATATTTTTAAAAACCAAATCATAATTTCTGTTTTTTTTTTTTTTTTAAATAAGCAGAGCTTCTCCACAATCTTTCCACATACCCCCTTGCAACCCAGAAGTACCCCCTGGGGTACAATTTCTCCTGGTCGGGAAAATGGACTAGAGCTTACTTGTTTATGGTTTGAAACATTTACATCTGCCTCATATAAAAGTTAAAAAAAAGTCCCAGTAACTCATATTGCTTGTCTGTAAGCCAGTGAACTACACAGCCCATGGGTACAATAAGCTTCCCCCATAGCACTAAAGGTAGAGGTGTAGTAGAAATACTGAAGCGCTCATCATAGACCAGGGCTACGAGGTGAGGGGGTGGCTGGTTGGGACTGTTGACTCATGCTTCATAAGGCCTTGTTTAACTGCGACCGGGGTCTTAATCCCTCTCAGCCACTCCGCACATCCCTGAGCTGTCCATGTTAATACCTGACCTGTCATTACACCGGTCCAATTCAAACAGTGTTGACATGAGCTGTCAGCGGATTAGGATAGAGCGAAAACACACGTTTCATTATGCCTTCAAAAGAGAAAAGGAGAGGAAGAGAAAAAAGAGAGTAAAAGGTAAGGTCAGTTCCCCAACAAGACAAAGCAGTACAAGGGAACGTGTAAAGGTCGCTGGTCTCCTCACCTTTAACCCTTTCTAGTGTTCAGTTCTGCTTTGTCACCATTCAGATGACTACAGATCCCAACGTGTGTCGCTTCAGCTAAAAATGCATTTCATCAAAAGTTTGGGTTTTACCCTATTTAGATTAGTTCTTAACTGGTGGGAAAAAACAAAAAAAATGTTTGAGGCTTTACTAACATTTGCTTTATTCCCAAGCAAGGTGCATGCAAAAATATCCTTTACACTATCAAACTGATACTACACAGAACAGCTCAGAAAACAAGAGAAAAAATAAAGTCAGGATTTGAGAAAAAAAATCTGAAACCTGGTGGAAAATATTAGAGGGGACATTGGTACAAGGTTAGAAGAGATTGTTATATTGTATTGATGTATTTAGATGTAGTCCATGGCGTCCTTTGCTTTATAGCAGTGACTCCCAACCAGGGGTAAAGTGTACCAGCGGTGTACTTCTGCAGTTGCCAGGGGCTACGTTTTTTTTATGTAGCTCAACTCATTTGAAAAAATAGAAATTACAGTAAATAAAGAAAATCTATTAATAAATACCAACATATTGAGTCAGTAGGTGTAACATTGAGAGTGCACAGTTAGTAAGCGAGCAGAGAAGTCTCAGTAGTTAGCTGAAAGTAATGGATAAATGGTTGAAATAGAAAAAAGCAACAGATAAATTGACTAAAAATGTATAAATGATTGAAAGAAATAATCTAAAAATGAATAATAAGTTGAAATAGCCAAGAGTAATGAATAAATAGTTGAAAAGGTCATCTAAAAAACTAATTAGAGGGACATCCAGCTTGTGCCACAATTTATATTTATATGTACAATACATACATGCAAAGTAAAAAAAAAAAAACACTGGCTGTTCAACTGCAATAATAATAATAATATTCATATTTCCAATATTGTTAAATAAAATCCTGTTTAAAATCAATGAACACATCTGACAAGAGTAAGGGGGGTAGTAGCGAATTAACTACTTTTGGTTTTGGACTGAGGGCTGGAACAAAACAACAAATCTTCACCTTGGATTTTAGGAAACTATGATAGACATCTTATAGACCAAACCATTAATTGAGAAATGAATCAGCAGATTAATCAATAACTGTTCACTTGTTTCAGTTCATCCTGCATTTTCACATCAGTGAACACTGTTTGCAAACAGGTGTTTGAAACAGAACTACTTGAATAAAATGTACAATTTGAGGTGATTCAGTTTTTAACTCAAAGTGAAACTGCTTTAACAAGCTGCTGTCCACAACTGTATGATCATCACACGTCTCAGTCTCACACATTGATACATGACTTGCATCCACCAGGAAAACCGCATCCTTCCTTCATCTTCCTGTACTGAGTAATAAGAAAGAAAACTAACACTTGTACACACACACACACACACACACACGCTTTGATCTCTGATGTCTACCTGAGCCTCACAGTGAACAGATCATTACCTGGCTGTATTGATCTCTCCCTGCGTCTCTCTGTCTCTTTCTCCCACCCCACATTTCTTCTTCCACACCTCCATGTTCTGCTCTCCTCTCCTCGTCTCTTCATTAAACTGTCATTTACTCCGCAGGTCTTTTTTCTCCATTCTCCCTCTGTAATGGTTATCCTCTGTCCCTCCCTCTCTGTCTCTTTCTCTGTTATCTCTGTGCCATCAGATATCAGGCAGCTACTTAAAATATAAAATATAATAATTTTTTTTCACCCATTTTATTCATCAATTTAAACATGCTAACTAATATTAATGTCTCACTGCCTGCTGCTACACTTTAAATGTTTTATTTGTCTGGGTTTCAATGGAAAAAACAAAAATGAGAAATGCTGCTATCCTCCTTCAAAAGCCCATTTTGGCTGATCCTCAAGCAAACACATGACTACCTGACCGAGGGGTCATCCACACTACCACCATCCACAACCATAACCCATCCTCCCTCTGTGATCAGGCTGGTTGTGAGGCCCTCAGGGGACCAACACTGGACACTTAGGGAAGCAGCTTGTCAGCTCAATAAACAGCAATTTATTGGCAGAGGACTGAATACGCTGCCATCCTTGGAAGCTATCAGCAGAGCCTCTTATTGGTGCTTAGAGATATTAATGAAGAGAGGACAGGAGAGGAACTGATCACACCAGCACGAGACGATGTGACTGCACATAATCATACTTTATGTGGGCAAATAAATGGAGAGTGCATTTAAATTAGCCCTGTTTTTCATCATGCTGAGTCACTAATATTTCATTATTTACTGTAACAAGGGAACTAGGAAATACATGATAATAAGGGTTTGTGTGCACATGAAAGCACTTTTCTCAATTGTGAGAAAAAAACAGGCAAGAAAAAAGGCAGACAGAAAGTCTTTACACACGGCCCACTTCTCAATTTGAAATCCTCATACTGTACCAACATATAGGCCTATTTTTTAAAACACTTTAAAAGGTCAGACAGTTTTCAAACAAACAAAATTAGTTCTTTACATTTCACTTGTGTACATATGTCTGATCTGACATAATCCCATCATCAGACTGGGCAGACAAGATGCTGAACTACCGCAACTACTGAAGATAAAAGACATATCCTGCGTATTTACAAGCAACCTAGAAGAACAGGGGACCTTTTGTGGTGGGGGCCCCAGTTTACTTGCCGTGCATGACTTGATTTTACCACTGCACATGAACACCACTAGGCCTAATACAACGAATGATCTATCACAGGAATAATAAATTAGATTTTCTTTTATTATTTCCTCTTAATCCAATGCCTCCTTATATATTTGTAGCCCTCGAAAGCTTAATAAAAACAAAAGGCTTCTGTTTATACAAATCTTGTGGAATAAGAATAAAGTCTACTGCTCAATTTCCAGACATTTTCTCCTGACAAGTGAAAGTGAGCAGCTACAACTTCCAATCAGGCTTCCGCGACTTCTGCCCCTGAACTTTGACCCTTACAGTTCATTTGGGAACTGCAGAGTAAATGTTTAATAGTTGTATCATCAAGTTAAAAAAAAGCATCTTACCTGTACCATTCCAACCCTTTATCGTAAAAGCGGTCAAAGAAGTGCGGCTCAGATCCAACGGCTCTCACGTCCGGATGGATGCGCAGGAACTCCAGCAGCGCCCGAGTGCCACCTTTCTTCACCCCTATGATGATGGCCTGAGGAAACTTTTTGCTGCCGAAATTATTGGCTATAGATATATTGTTAGATAGAGCGTCGCTGTTCGACAAGTCCGACAGCTGTTCCCGGACAATCGAGACTTGAGACGCGTTATACTTGCCGAGCTGCTGCGCTGACGCTTCGTGTCCATCATTTAAGATAATTTTGTTTTGGAAATGACTTTGTTGGTCATAAACCGGCCTGGGCAAGGAGTCACAGTATCCGTTGAGGCAGTAAAACAGGTAAGTGAAGAGAATGATCATGGTAAAGAAGACGGACAGCTTGGACTGCACCTTCAGGTGTCCAAAGTTGAACGCAGCTCTCCATTTACTACATCCCATGAGTCGCAATCCTGAGCATGAGGACACAACGCAGGAAACATGCCATACCAGAGGACTTCATACTACTGACTTTAAAAGTTACTCAAACTGAGAAAGCTTTAGAAAAACCGCCGCGCTCGTGCCACAACGGCAAGTGGCGCAAAACTTGCCTTGCGCGCGTCAAAAGGTTCCACATGTTGCCCCAGCTTATCTCACTCGCTCTTTGCCTCTCTCTCGGGATTCGTCAGCTATATAGCAGCATCAGAGGCAACTTGTAGACTATTATTTTTTTTCCAATAACTGGAGCAGTCCCAGCGAGGCTCAGCTGAAAGGTGGCTGTGGATTTATGTCCCGCGGCGCTCCATGCCTTCTGTGCGCTCCCGTGGCTCCTTTGGCAGCGACTCTATTGGAAACCCTCAACAAGCCCTTCCAGTCCGACTGCCAAATCCACGCCCTGTTTATCAAATCCACGCCCCTTCCACCCTCAGCCCGTGCGACACTAAAATAACAGCAGAAAAATAATGAATATGCGCGTCACCCTCTCCAAGTTGACTGAGAGGGAGAAACTCTCATATCACATTATTTTGAAAGCAATTTGAGAGGAATATGGTCGTTAGTTTAATTGTATTTAATGCATTGGAAGAGGAGGGGCATATTTGGAGCATGATAAAGAGGGGATATTAGTTTTTGATTGCAGACTGAGCATGTAATATCCTCTCATTTCCCCTTTAAATCACCACATCCACTGTGCAGCCTTGTGCACATTTGGAAGCCTCGCTGGTTCGAGCTCCAGGTTGTATCTTGCCCAAACTGTTCACTGTTGGCCACCTGCTGTCTGCCAGCCCTCCTGACCACACACCCCCATGGAGCCAGCTATGACACAAACGTTTAACCTTTACACTCCTGCCCAACAGGGACAGACAGGTGTCATCAGCTTTCTCCCAGTGTGTGTGTGTGTGTGTGTACACATGTGAGAGCACATTTAACTATGGTAAACACAGTAATCCAGACCACCATCAGCTTCTCTCCACATCAATTTTCTTTTTTTTTTCTTTTTTTTTTTGCACAAAGTAAATATTGTTAAATCATTAAGACCAAAACAAAAATCATTAAAAATCCAAAGCAGTTTAGTTGAGGAAAAAAATTTAGCTGTCATGTGAGACATTTGCTAGGATACAGGTTTTTTGGAACAAAGTCTTTTATGTGTCCCTGGGAAGTCTACCAATTTGTTCCCGAATCTTGCCAAGAAAGCCTAAGGACACGGATCACATTTTCAGCAGCAATGACACAGACAGATAAAATGTCTGGAGTTGGTTCTTCCCGTGTGAGTGTGAAACTGGATTTTTGCACTCAGTATTTTGAACTGATTGTCAGTCTTCTCTCACGCACTGTGCACATAGACACACGTAATCTCTAGGCAAGCCTCTTTATAGATCTGCTTCCCTGTCTTTGTTTTTGTGCATCTTTGTTTGGTCTGTCTCCAGTTCTCGTTTTACTAATTCATATTTTCCATGTGTGTGTAACTGTGTAACTTGTTATATAAAGCTTTACTTACTAACTTACTTATTAAACTTCAGGATCTTTAGGAGAAGTAGTAGATCTCAGCTTTTGACTCAAGTGGAATTGCAATGAATATTTAAATGTATTAAAAGCAAATTAATTCATTATGTTGATTTCAGTATTATAGTTGACAGACATGCAGCTATAGCACAACAGAGATAGGCCTACAGTTAATCCCTATAAACGGGACTGTAAATAATCAAAATAAAATCAGGCCAAAAGAGGAGAAGATGAAAGAAAACATTTTGTCTGTTTGCATTTTCTTCTGACAGGTATAGTTTTAAAGAAAAGACATTCTGCCACCAATTTTAGAAACTTGTTAAATATGTACAGTTGAAGAGTTGAATGAAAAACAGCATAAAGTGTTGTTGGTCAGCTTAACAGCAGCAAAAAAAAAAAGAAAAGTAAATGCTTTTGGTACAGTGATATTGCTGGATAGCTCGTGTTAAACATACTGTCAAATTCTATTTACTCTTTGTCAACCATTTGCAGAGGAAACCGCACCGACCTCGTCGTTGTCCAATAATTCCTGATAATGGACATCTTGTCGGGCTTTATCCCTTACTTATCCATTTGAGGCAGATGAACAATCATACAGGGAAAGATCCATCACGGAAGACAAAGACAGACTGAGTATTTCCAAAAACCCACAGAAACTGTAATTGACCGGCCTTGACACAGCAGCAGCTGAAATCTTTACAGGTTAATGGAGAGCAACCCTGAAGTATTTTGACTTACGATCTGAACAACATTACACAGCAATATATGTTCCTGGTAAGGGTTAAGGAGATAATGCGTAATGTACAACAGAGTTTTAGGTAAGGCTCATTGTACCATAGTGGAGTGATCTTGGACTGCTTTAATAAAATCTTCCTGCTGAGTTTCAACCGAATCACTGTCAGACACTTCTCAAATGGATGCTTCTGAAACCCCATTTTCCCAACAATAGTTTTTGACTATATGTGTTACAGTATAAATCACAAGTTATTGGCACCTCCACCTTATACGTGGAAATATAACTGAGGTCCTACATGGCAGCACATCCATATGGATGATAAATCTGGAGGGGATGACAATATCCAATCGACCCCAGCTTCTTCCAACCTGGCAGTATGTCAATTTCCCCAAGTCTCTAAACAGAGAAGGCATCATTTACCCTTCTGTACTCTCCAAGCACTCCTACGTATTGATCCGCTGTGATGTTGAAAAACAATCGGAGACGTGCCACTCTGTAGTCAAAGTGATCAATAATGTGGGCTTGCTTTGTTTTGTTTAATGCGTGGCATGCAGAGCTGCGCTCTTTACCTCAGGTGTAATGGTGAAAGGATTTGGGTTTTTGAAAGGAGTTTTACACCAAAGTGGCTCATATTTGTTTTATTTGTCTGTTAGATCATTTATTAAGGGCATCTGCTTTTGGATCATCTCTATGGCTTTGGATTTATCTTTAGGGTCAGGTTCAGGGCTTTCAGTATTCTTCGCCATCTAGTTTATTTAACGTAAATGCTTTGTTTTGATTATGTAAGCCTCCATGGATCTTTTGCACAAATTCCACTTGCTGCGAGCTAGTTTAGCCGCAGTTTTCTGGGGATTTTTTTCTCCTTTGGATGTAGCTATTGCCTCATCTAGTTATGTGAAATAATTGACTGAATGACCCAAATAGCATTACAACAAAATGTATATTTTTAAATAGGAACAATAAGAAAACAAGTTTTAGCTGTAGGTTAGCTGTGGCTATCTCACCAGTTAGCGCTTGATACAGCTCTTTTGCTTTAGCTGTCTATTCGGCTGTTTTTCCGTTTTAGAGTGCAGTAAACGGGACAGTGGTGTCCAGAGATGACCAATAATAATAATAATAATAATTAAGATTTTCATCCTGAGAACTGAAAATATGAATATGAATTGCTGTTTGTTTGTATACATAATTGCCAGATAGGGACACCAAAACCAAATTTACACGGTGATGAGATACTAAAACTTGAGTTAAACATTAACCATAAAGTAAAACAAATAATTATTTCATAAATAATGTCCAAAAAAAAAAAATTCCCTCTGGGTTATTAAACTAGGCTATATTGTAGCTGCAGACAAAAAAAAAACAATCTGTGTGTTATTATATATAGGTCAATATCAGCCATCGTGTACAGTCTCTCTCTAATCCTGCATAACATATAATGTATGTGAACTTGGATCACCTTGAACACCTGAACACCTGAACTAAGGCATTCCCACACACACACACACACACACACACACACCTGCGTCTGTAAGTTACATCCTCTGTGTTGAATTCCTACCCACCTGTGTAAGGGCTGTGGGAAGGCAGACAGCTGTACAAAGCTCAGCAGGGACTGTTTTGCTCTGTAATTCTATAAAGTCCCTGGGACGACCTGCAGCGGCTGCTTCAAAGACAGGAGGCCTTTCTCATTACAAATCACTCCAAGTTCGGACTTGCATACTTGGACTCGAGTTGGAAGTTGGCAAGTTCAACTCCAGAGTACCGAGGACGGTGTATCAATTTGCATTTGTGGCCAGCAGCTCACCTGGGCTCTAGTGATCACACTTCAGCACAACTGTACTCTACTGTACTGTGACAAAGTAGTCTCAACTGTAAGGTCCACTAACTGGACTTGATCATGGGATGCACAACATTGAATTTCACTTCTGAGAGGGAGATCAAGTTTTATCTTCCAACGGGAATTAAATCATTCATCATAACGTTACAGAGACATCAGGGCTAGATCCATGTTTGCCAAGATAAGACTTCGAATGCTGACTGGCCTATCTTCACAATCTAAATGGTTACGTTCTTTACTGAAATAATATCAACATTATCTAACATTAGCCACCGTAAGCTGTAGCAGCAAGTGGCTGTAGCAGCTAAACTCCTGAGTGTATACTGAATTGAGCAAGGGTGAGTTTTATTTTTATAAAATAAAAAAATTGAACATAACATTTGTAATAGAAATAATGTGGTCTTTTGCTTCTTTAAAGTTACCGCCACTTTAAATTTTAGTAAGTTAAACTGAACGTGTTAATAACAGCTGGGATCGTGGACAGGTTAAGTAATTCAATGCATTTTAAATCCACTGCATGTATTTCCACTGACTTCCTCTTTTGTGTCTCTTTTAAAAGACTTTCTGTTTTTGTGTTTTCAACAATGGCTAATCCGCTCACTGTGCAGGTCAAAGTGAATACAACAGACTTCTCAGGTTGTCCTGAAGGGCGTAGCAGTCATTGTCCCACAGGAGAATACAAAGTATTGTCCCAATGTTGTACTGGATCATTGAGGATACAATACATGCAACTAGCTACTGAAGAGCTGTCTTCAAATAGCATGTTAACTCACCTGGATGGAATGTGTGTGTGTGTGTGTGTGTGTGTAGGTGTAGGTGTGCGTGTGTGTGTGTTTGTGTGTAAAACTTGTCACCAAATTCCCCTAGATTTCATCACCATTTAAGGCCAGAGAGGATTAAAGGATGAATTACATGGAGGGATTTTTTCAGTCCAAGTGATTCAGTAAAAACGTTTAAAAAAGCTCTTATGTTTCATCGTCGTAGCAATTTACATATCAGCAACCACAGTTCACTGCAGATGAGAAGATGGTGAACTTCAGCAATAAAGGCTACCATGATGACTCCCACACCAAATCTGATAGTTGTTTGATAAAATCCAAATAAATGAGCCAAAACACCAAAGTCTGAATGCTTTTATGAATGATTGTTATTAACCTCTTACCATGCATGTAAAATTACGCCTAAAAACAACATACCCAAAGTAAATTAAAAGCTGTTCTTCAATCATTTGCAGTATATGCATGGTTTTAGTCTCATTTAAAAGATAACACTCTAAAAAACAGCTGTTCA